AACCCCGAACATTCTGTGATTCTGTGATCTTGCTGTTGGTGACACAAACCCACCTTCGCTTCTCTGCTGAGCCCAGGTTGGAGAACTCTGCTCTGCTCCTGCCTGGGGAGAGCGAGGGAGCAGCCCTGAACACATCAGATGTCTGCCCGATCCTTCATCGTAACCGCGGTGCTGGGAGAGGGGTGCAGGAGGGACCTGTGCCGCTGGGGAGGGGGCAGCGTGTCCTGGGAGGGCAGGCAGGCTCCACGTGTGCTCTTCCCATCCCAGTGTGGCATCTAGCACCCTGACTGGGAACACGGGACCTTTCAGCAGTACTGGCATCACCTTTTAGAATTAAACATGGGCTTTTGAATGTTGGTCGTGTAGATCTGCCGATGTTTTGAAAAGCAGGTTCGTTCGTGGGTTTTAATGTTTCATCCAGCTTATAGGCAAGAAACCTTGTACATCAGCTCGAAGCTGGGGGGAAAGCCACAAGGTGTGGTTGTTGTGGTATGAAGTTCCAGCATGTTAACCACTGTGTCTAGAATTTTTCTGCTACCATTTCCACGGGTTAATGCAGCTGGTGGAGATGCCTGAGGTAGGGCAAAGAGCTGGGAGGAGAAGCAGAACCAGGCACGCGCCGCAGCTTCCTGCAGACACCGGCTTTTGGCCAGACTCTTCAAGGAGCACACAGAGAACGTGCAGACCAAGCTTAGATTTTATTTAATGAAAACTACAAAAGACAACTTGCCTCCTCCAAAAAAAGTCAGGCAATCGAGTCACAGCTTGTGATAGAAAAGGAAGGTGCTGCACTGGGGGGAAGAGCCCTACCACAAAATTCAAACCTTCCCTGTGGTTCATAGGCAGCATAAATAAATAACGTATCCCAAGCATGCCACTGCCTGGGCCCTGGCTGTGTGGGCACCTTGTAAACTTTGTGTGGTCTAAAACTGAGCACCGAGTCCTGCGGCACCCCCTGGCCAGGGCAGGGCTTCCCCTGGCAGCCCAGCGTTCACAGTTTGCGGTAGCTTTGACTTGCCCCATGGGACCTTGTCTGGTTTCACTGCTGGTTCAGGTCACGTCTGCTCACACGTGTGGTTTGCACGAAGTCTCAGATACAAAGGGTTCTTTCTGGAGCTCTTAGGCACCGCTTTCTTTGTGGTTTAAAAAGAAAAGCGTGCCTTTCTCCCCGCACGCATAAAAACCTAGCTGAGTTCTCAGTGCTGATTCTGGCAAACTTTAGAAAGTGTTAACAGAGCTGCTCAGGACATCGGTCCTGCACGGCTTGATGTTCAGGAATTCCTCTCCTACAAGGCAAAATGATGAGCAAGGGGAGGAAGGTCAGGAACTTTCTTTTTGCACTGATAAGTGTTGCTGTTACACATGAGGGTATCTTTGCTCCCGTCTCATGCCTGTCCCTTATTTATTTATCCTGTGTCATTACGTGAGACACCTGCTCAGCGTTAGCCCGTGCTGGTCCATATGAAACCCTTTGCTGTTCTGTGGCAGGACTCACAGGTGTGGTCATGTTGTTCATCCAGTAGCGTCGGGATTCTACCTCCAAACTAGGATAACCGTCACCTGAGAATGCTGGCACTGTTGTTTAAGACAAAACCAAAAATAAACCCTTAAGACTGTGTAAGGCTGGTTTGTAAAGTGCAATAGAGGTTTAAATTGACCTCTGTAGTTTGAAAAACCACTTTGCTATGCAGATTAGCAGTTCGTAAAAACTAACGTGGTGGTGCCGGGGTATTAATTAAAACTATTTTTTATTGTCCAGTCTGGTAACAAAGAATAAATTAAAAAGCCCTGAATGGCACGTGCTGTTTGGTGAGGGCCCAAGGCAATGCTGATTGCAGGCAAGATGTGACTTCCCACGTCTCGTAGGAACTGGGATTGTGTCTTTAATGGCTTAACTAGGAAGGAGCACACACCTCAGTCCTCTGCACTGTGGTAAGGCCTTAAGAAAAACTGGAAGTTTGATTCTCAGTCTTCTCACTACTCCATCAAAACCCTGGTTCTACCTGAGAACTACTCACAGAGCCAGCAGTGGGAGCTCCCCCTCCCTCGAAAGCAGCTCCTGTTCCCTCCCCCATGGGGCAAGTCACGTTAGCTCTAATAAGAGAACAATGGAGTGGGTTGGATGAAAGGCTCGATCTGTCACACTTCATCACAGCGACTTTAAACATAAACTCTCAAGACCTTTGGTTCTCTCTGGTGCAGTTCGTAGCCTTCTGCCAACTTGATTCCCTGAGTTGTAGAATTGTGACCAAGTGCTTCCTCTCGCCAGTATTTACGTGATGTTAAAGCCTGAGGGGTAGCACACGCTGCTCAGGAAGGACATAAAAACAACAGAAAAGGTTTTGTCATTATCCTCAGGAAAACACAGCTGCAGTTTTGCTCTGTTCTGTTCGCTGGGACCTGCTGGTTCTGCAGTTGCTGCTCCTGAGGCAGTAATTCTGCCCTAGTCCTGTTCAGGCGGCTGTAAGGGAGGACACGGGGAGCTGCCTTCTCCAGCCCTCAGCTGAGGGCACGAACCACCCGGGTTCATCACCTTCGCACCCCCCGCTCCCCCGTCCTCACTGTACAGGTGTCCAAATCCATCGTAGTATTCATCTGTCTCCATGGCATCGTCAGGAATTTGAGCTGGAGCAGGCATGAAAGGTGCTAAAACCGGGGGGTTGGCAGCCACCCTCAAACTCACTCGATGGGAATCCTTCAAGCCAGAAGAGCCGTGGGAGGGTGGCCTTGCCTTGGGATGGTCCTGGATGGCGTGACTGATGGGATAGAAAATATAAACGGCATTGGATGGCTGCAAGCACGTGAGCTCTTGATCCACAAGCTCTTTGCAGCGGATGAATTCAGTGCTGGTAACCT